AAAAAAAAAAAAAAAAAAAAAAAGCAAGAAAAGAAAAAAATAAAGGTGTCTTCTTTTTAAGAGCTCTAAAAGATATGAACTAGAATAAGAATCCATTCCATGAAAGAAGGCAACTCGACCGAATTTACTGATGAGCAAGCTGCAGATTTTTCAAAAGGACTGCTCACATTTTCTATGAATACCTTTGTTTATATTTACTGCCATGCTTTCCACAAACTTGAGCAAATCTTGTGATTTATTAAATTGGCTTGCACAAAGTTGGAGAAGGAGCAAATGTTAATTATGTCCAGCTATCGGCCAGATCCTAGATGGCGTTCCGTTTGTAGACTCCTAAGATGGAAGTAGGCAGGCTCCATGGAGGAGTCTCACTGGTGGCACAGGGGGACTTTCCAGTCCGGGAGCTGACAGCAGACTAACACTGTTCATTAAATATTTCAGATGTCGTCTTTTCAGCCTACTCTACCTAAAGTGCACTACCATCTATGAAGACAAACAGTAAAAACCTTTGTGAAGACTGAATTCTAAGGAAACAACCACCAGTGGTTTATTATGCTGAAAATGTGATTTTGGGGGAGTCAGATATTAAGTTTGATTAGTTTACTACAATTGTAAGAAAATGCTTAAGTCATTTGAATAATAAGCATCATCCACGTCATAAATTCTGTACAACAAATGCTTTTATGAAATGGAGCCACTCGTTTTTTCATGTTTTATTGTAAAATACTAGGCATTTATGTATTACTGTGTATGTATTTCTTTTTAAATGTGTAAGTCTTATGTAAATGGATATAAATATGATTTTTAAAAAAATAAAATATATGGTTCATGGAGTCTCGAGTGCAAACATTTGACAATTCCAAGTACTGTTTGTATTTTACCATTCCACCATTTTTACAGTTTCTGAATTGTAACAGTCAAATCGATATGTTTCTCCTTCAAGTCTGTCAATACTTAAAGCTGAAAACCTGCCTCTGATCATGTAAAAAGGAATGATTTAACCTGGAACTGGAGCCAAAAATAGTCCTTTAAAGGCAATCAGGGATGTCCTATATCTTTAGAAATAGCACTGTGATGGCTCGATCTCCTTTTCAACACAAAACAAAGCTAAACTGTTTACAAGAGTCAAGAGCAAATATTTAAAAAAATAATTTATAAGGAATAAACAGCATCTTCTCTTGTTATCTGTGGACCAAGAAAAAAGAGAAAAAAAAAAAAAAAAAAAAAAAAAAAAAAAAAAAAAACTTCTTTACTAAGAACATGTTCATCAGATATCTCGAACCGCCAGCCGGCACTGTTCAGTGAATGTCAACCACTGCAGAGTCCGAGGCTCATTTCCATTGAAAAAAAACAAAAAACCCAGAAACCTTTCCCTTTTGTCAATGTAACAGGGCATTAGCCAGACTCATGTCTAATGTTATAAGCTTCTAGCCAAGATGGCCTTGTTGCGACTTCCCTGAAGTCAGTCTTATCAGAGGAAATAAATGAAAGACAGAATGATTAACATATATAGTGTATAAAAGTATAGAAGAGTAATCTCTTCCCTGTGGCTTTATTTGGTGGTGTTACTGTTGTTTATTCTTTGTTTATACGGGAGATTTCAAAGTAAAACCTATTTAATAATACCATTTATCTAACTGCTGATTTTCTGCTGCTTGATCTTATGAAGCGCAAGACCTGTCATTAGTAATTTCCTTTTTGTATTTAATTTGCTGTTTGCACGTACATTACATTTGTTTTGATGTCTATTTTTGTTTAACAGATTCAGTCAAAAGGTAATGGTAACAGAAACCCTCTCCATTGTCAATAAAAAAAAATACTTACAGTTCTCTGTTTAATCTTTGTTTTCTAGTCACATAATATTTAATTTAAACTATAATGAAAATTGGTCTTCTAGTGACTTTCAGTCTATTTTTTACCTTCAAAAGTGAGTCTGCCACAAGAGGGAGCACTGAACTTGCGTATGAAGGTGATTTTTTTAAATTTTCTGGAAATGTTGCCTGAGCAGAAACAATGCAAAGGAGCTTTCTCAGCTCATCTGATCACTGGGATCTTGACTTAGGGAAATGAAATATACAGAAACTATGATATTATAACAACACACTAGATCTGTATCTACTCTCAATACATGACTTAGAGAATATCCAGTAAGAAATGTTAATCGTTTATAATTCTAATGTATAGAGAGAAAAAGATCTAGCTATTCCCTCAAAACAAAACAAAACATAAAATACTCTTCAACTTATAGTATAATTTCTGCCAGAATCTAAAATCCATTTACTGGATTAAGCTCAGAATCTCAATATTTTTCCTTCTGACCAGTTATCAAACTTATGAATTTTCACATTTGTAATGATGAGAGCCTTCTCAAATACAATTTTATATAAACAAAAGTGCTCCTTAGATATAAAGCAGATCTTTTATATATTTAATGTATTGTCTGGAGCAAAATAACTGGAAAACACTTTTCCATAGATTTGAAAGAAAATCTTATTTAAATTTTTCCAATGTCTTACAGTAAAATGTTCTATGAAAATACCAAGTCATGAGGACTTTATTTCAGAAAATACAAGGATTGTATTTTTAGTAACATTATATCGTTATTTTTAAAGATACATTTAATCCAGAATATTCTAGGTACTATCTACTGAAAGTGCTTTATGGTAAGTATGTAGGAGAAAATTCCTTTTTTTTCCTACCAAATTTTAGGCAGTCCAACAACTCAAGTGTATCTTTCTTGCCCCATTTTTAATCACATGAAAGTAACAGTACTTCCTTTGACTCTTCGGAGGAGATAAATTTCCTCGACCAGATGCAGGAACAGTACTTCCTCCCCAGTCTCATGCACCGAGTTATTGGAAAATAACTTGAGCCTGCTTGCTAATGTGTCCCTTCAGAATTGATGGCTAGGAAAAATGTGCAAGAGGTCCACAGATACACCCTTCACACAGTTCTCAGATCTGCCTTTGTTTATCCCTTACAAATGAACAATGGTACACATTCAGCTAAAGAATTTGCCATTTCAAATTGACGGGATGTTACACGAAAAAATAATTATATTCTTAACAAGAATATATTACTTAAGATTACAGTTGTGATAATGAGTAAAATGTACCCAACAGAAGGGACACTTTAAGGAACTTCACAGCTTCAAATTATAAGTTGAATGTCTATCTAGTTGGTTTAATGCAGGCTACCGAAACAAAGAGAACAATTAGCTGAAAAAATTTTCAGGTGTAACAATCAAGAAGCCAATTTAAGCAAAGAGGACTTTACTTTGAGAAGCCATTGATTTATAGCTTATGGTCCAAAAAAAAAAAACCTATCATTTTCATAATGTCTTTATATATAAGTTGTAAGCAATTTTTATGAAATAAACAAGTAAAGCTCTCTGTTATCTCTCACATATATTTCATATACCAGACTATCATGTTAGGACAGCTGCTCTTAAAAAATCATTTTCCTGATGGACTGAAAGATTGGGAAATACTTTAAGCACCATCAAAGACTCAATGGGCATGGTATATATATATTTTTTAGTTTAAATGTATTCTTCAATAACTGATAGCATGTAGAATCCTAAGTAAATCCTATATTTAATTATCTACTCTGGCTAATTGGTACATTACCATAAACTTATTAAAGATTCATTTTCAGGAATTTTTCTTAAATTCTCAATAGTTTTAGATAAGTTTAAATGGAAACACGTGTTTGAATGTCACAATGCGTTTTTAGTGAGTTATTAAAAAATTAGAGATTTCACATAAAAATCTAGATTTGGGATTACTTAAAAACTCCTGGTCTTTAGCATAATATAAAAACTTTTACATTTCTTCCTTAAGAGTTTTCCTTGTCAGTTTACTGCATTTTTGTGTCATTTCCTTGTTTTTATAGGAAGCTGGAATCATTAAGTGTACGGTCAACTAAGAACCTGAGACAGGAGGAACTCCAAAGCACTCTCACCTCCCTGACAAACAGACTGGATTAAATGACCTCTAGGATCTGTCAGGCATGTGATTTCCCTTGACAAGGTCAAAATGACCCGAGGGCAGAGCTGTATCCTGGTATCTAAGCTTCCCTCAGGAAATGTAGGTCTAGATGGATGCTCCTATTTCAAAGTCATCGGTCTAGGTGATTCCCTAAAACCTCCCATTTTATCTATTTTTTTTTTAATAACCATGCATGGGGACATCTCAAGAATGTTAGAAAATATTCAGAATTTCTATAAGAAAAATTATTATTTTCTGACTTCAACTTGAGTTTTAGGTTCTGGGTCAAAGCTACAGATTCCTCATTTCAGGAAGTACTCTATGTTAATGTGTCACTTTCGATTAAAATATTTGAGGGAGTAAGCTTTTTAAAATCATACATTAGCTATATTTTTCCTAAATTAAAGTGATAGACAATCTACAATGAACCATGTTCCAGGCAACTGAAAAAGATGCTAATTGGGTCTAATTAAACAGAAGGCACAGGTCTTCTTCTAGTCTTCAAGTACTATTTTTTTTTTTTTTTAGACCAAGCTTTATAATTCACATTTCAGGTTGCAAGTAATTTCTATTTAAGTATTTATTTATGGGAAAGAATTCAAAAAATTTGACTCCAGTTAGAAAACTGACTCAAATTGACTCAAAATAGGAAAAAAGAAAGTCATGATGCCTTCTTCAGCACTTCTTCTATGTGCCCAAAAATGCTGGGGTCTTCAATTGTAGGTGTTATCTGGAAAGAAAAAACGAGAGATGAATGTTCGTCCCTGAACCCCTTCCATGTCTCTATAATTAAACAATTACATGCAATGTTGTATTTCCCATTATCTTATAATATGCATATAAAAATGTTGAAAACAAGGGAACTCTGATTTTAATATTTTAAAATATAATTTGTAGTCTTCCAGAATAATAAACTGTTCATTTAGCAAAACTATTGGTCCTAAATGATGGGGTTTTGGGGTGTTGGTGAGGGTTTGGAGCCAATGGCCAGGAAAGAATTCTCAAAGAAGTCTTTGGTGTCAAAAAGGTGATTTTATTAAAGCATGGGGACAGGACCCATGGGCACAAAGAGCTGCACTGGGGTTGTGAGGAGTGACTTTATTATATACGGTTGGGGGAGGTAAAGTCAAGAGGAAGTTTCTTAAAGGGATTTCCACATGCTAAAGAGGATTTACAGATTATTGGAAGCCTACCTATTGTCAAGCTAAGGTTGTTTTTTCTCTCTAGCAAAGCATTATCATTAAGATAGGGAGTTCACAGAAATTAGGTTATTGATAAAATGGTCTTTTTCTTGTAATATTACTAAGATATTTGTAAACTGATGGAGACTCTATCAGTTAGCCATTTGTTTTATGTCCTTTCCTTTGTTCTTGGGCAGCCAGGAGTGCCTGAGGAATGTGTCACATAGCCTACCTGGGGGGTGGGGGAGTTGGGGCAAGTCAACTTGCCTTATGCTCCTTCATCACTAAGTGGTACTTTCTCTAGAATCCCTCTAATGAGTCTTTCTTTGTGCCTCTTTTGAATTTTTTTTTTTTTTTTTGCATTTTCTCATACAACTATTTACTGTTGCATCACCTTCTAGTAGATATTGGTGATTAAGTACATACACTTGAATTAGCCTAACATTTTCCAAAATAATTTTCACTCAAAATAGAAATAATTAGAATATATATCAATTAGAACTATAGAGTATATATGAATGAGAACTATATAACCAGCATATATATTATATATATGATACATACACATATATATCATATATATCTGCACATATACAGCATGTATATAACCAGCATGCATAACCAGTCTCAATTGTTTGCTTTCTCATTCAGTAATAGCCATTAATGACCACAATGAAGGGAGATGTGTCTTTAATTCATTAAGACTGCATTTCCACTAGTTGTTTGCATTTAACTGACATACTGATAGTAAAAGTATTTTCACACACTGGTTCCTATAATCTCAAAGCATATGGTTTTAATTAATACGTGTTTCCACAACCCTCATTCCTAGAGAGTGGTTATGCAGTTTCCCCCTTAACATTAAAAAAAAAAAAAATGTAAAAACATTTCAGAACCTGGCGTTGAACATTTTGGATAATTTACCTTATACGGCTTGCCGTTGACCAGGGCAGACAGAGCTGACCGGGGAATTTTTCCAGATCTCGTTTTGGGTAACTGTTTCACAAACACTGCATTTCGAAAAGCAGCCACAGGGCCAATGCTCTGTCTAACATGGTTCACAATTTCTTCCAAAACTTGTTCTTCTGTTGTATTAATATCTAGGGAGAAAGTTCAGGTGGATAAGCACTGAATTAACTAGGGTTAATCATTCAGGGCCCAAACACTCTGGGAGAACAAAGATCTCTCACCTTTTCTCAACACGCAGAGTGCTAAGGGGACGTGACCTTTCAAAGGATCTTCCTTACCAACAACAGCGCAGTCAGCTACCGTGCCATGGGAGAGGACCGACTGTAATAAGGAAAGCATTCATTTAGAAAATGTGTGTGTGTGTGTGTGTGTGTGTGTGTGTGTGTGTGTGTATGTATGAATATATAAAGAGAGAGAGATACGGACATACGTATTTCAATCAGAAAAAAAAAGTACACGTCAGAGAACTCAAACCCTATAGCTGCCTGCGTGAAAGTTACTACTAATTCACAATTCGTATCATTATAACCAGGGTGAATGAATGATTAGGACCCCCATGGTAGTCACTCACAAAAGGCTAACAGTGATTAAGACAAATTGCTTAGCTTACCTGGAAAGTAGGAGAATTGTTTCTTCATCTCGCTTGTTTATTAATGAAGTCAGGGCAGGTATGCAGTGAGAACACACTGCAGTGTGCATCCGAAATAAAAGGGCCTCATGGTGATTTAGCGTTAGTGCTGGCTACCATAAGCGCCCTTTCCAGAGAAATCCAAGGCAGCCCCATGACTAAACAGGGATTTTATTTCTGTATCTGTTACTAAGCAATGAACAGAGCATCTCTTTTCTTGAATGACCACCCATCCAGAGAGGATTTTCCAACTTCAAAGAAAAGGCTGGAGATAGCATGAAGCCCTGACTTCAGATAATCACCCCTGTCAGGGAGCCATTTTCATACTGCTTACTCTAAGCTCTAAATATCTTAAAGAACAAAGCAGCTATCAATCTAGAATCACAAGAAACCACAGAGTAACCACATGAAATACAGAAGCTTAGGGTTAAAAAAACATTTCTGCTGTGATGGTACTTTTAAAAATGATTGTTTAAAATGTCCTCTTCTGAGAGAGTAATAGGTATTTCAGTGACTGCAAATCTCTTAAAGCTAGAGAAAACAGTGGGCAATATACCAACAGCCCATTTGACACTTCTTATTCTTTCTTATTCTTTCAACAAATATTTACCAAATCCTTCTATGTTCCAGCCACTGCACCAGGCTCAATGCTGAGCAAAAACAGGTGCTTACAGTCTAATAGATGAGAACAATCTTAATAAACAATCACTAATATTTGTTATTGTGAATGTCTAAATATAAAAGTGGTAAGGGCTCTGGGGAAATAACCGGGTTTTTATATGAAAGCTATAGCAAAAGCCTCCAAAATAACTTAGGTTTTTATGTGAAATACAGAGCAAAAGCAGGACAGGGGTCTCAGAGAAGCCTTCAGGAAATGACAATGAGCTCAGGTGTCAAGGATGAGTAGACACTGATTAGGCAAGGAGAAAGGGTGGGGCAAATCCCTGAGGAGAGACTTCACACAAAGCATTTGAACCTGAAAGAAACTAATGTGGCAGGAAAGCAGCAAGGCTGAGAGAGGCGCAAGAGGAAAGGAAGCTGTACAGGTAGAAAGGGACTGTGCTAAGGACTTCCAATTTAGTAGAGTTGGAAAAGCGATGAAGCAATTTCAAGAGTTGAGGAGGAGATACAAGATCTTTGTGGATTTTTTTAACAGACTTTATTTTTTGGAGTAGTTTTAGATTCATAGCAAAATGGAATGGAAAGCACAGAGTTGTCATATCTCTCCCGCCCCCATATATGCACAGCCTCCCTCACTCTCAAAATCCCTCACTAGAGTGGTGTATTTGTTAGAATTGACAAACCAACATGAACACGTCATTCTCGCCCTCGTCGACAGTTTACATTAGTGTTCACTCTTCATGTTGTATATTCTATGGATCTTATGAAATGTGTGCACCATTATATTGCATTTTACAGAATAGTTTCACTGCCTTAAAATATCTCCTGTGTTCTGCTTATTCATCCTTACTTCCTGCTAGCCCTTGGCAAACACTGATCTTTTCAGTGTCTCCAAAGTCCTTTTCCAGAACACTGGAATCATATAGTATGTAGTCTTTTCAGATTGGCTTCTTTCGCTTCAGATTGTATTTTGAAACACAAACTTACTTTGGGTTCACTGTGGAGAACAAATAGAGGATCGTTAAGGGTGAGTATTACAATTTATTCAAATCACCCATGAGGCTACAAGTAGACTAAGGCTATGACAATGGGTAATGGGATTCTAGAGTTTCTTTAAAGATAAAATGAACATATTTTTATGATAAATTGGATATGGAGCAAGAAGAAGGTAGGGAAGTTATGGATGATTCTATGTTCTTTGGCTTGAACAGATGTTTGGATAGTGGTGCCATTTTCTAAGCCAGAAAATACTAGTGAAGGCTAAGCTTGGAAGGAATGATCATGTATTAAGTCTTGGAGATGTTCCACCGAGGCATCTTTGAGATATCTAAGTCAAAGCAGTTGAGTCTGATGGGAGTCTTAATCTGGAGATGCACATTTAAATGTCATTAATGCATAAATGGTAACAAAAGCTACAGATAAAGATTAGATTATTTAGGGAGATTGGGGCACCTGGATGGCTCAGTTGGTTAAGTATCTAACTTCCGTTCAGGTCATGATCTCACGGTTTGTGGGTTCGAGCCCCACATCAAGCTCTGTGCTGACAGCTCAGAGCCTGGAGCCTTCTTTGGCTTCTGTGTCTCCCTCTCACTGCCCTTCCCTGCTCATGTTCTGTCTCTCTCTCTCTGTCTCTCAAAAATAACTGTTAAAAAATAAAAAATAAATTAGGGAGAAAGCAATAAGAAGATGAAAGCCTTAAGGAACTCTGACATTTAATGGCTACATGAAAAAGGAGTAGCTGACAAACGAGACGAAAAAGGCACAACCAGAGAGACAGGGAAAAACACAGCAGAATCTGGGACATGATGCTTTCCAGTCCCAAAGTTTCCAGGAAAATCTTTTTTTTTTCTTTTAATTACACCAAGTTGAAAATGAGTCCTGGAAGACTCAGCGAACAACTAGAATGTTGGGTGCAAAGCTGGTGCACTACCTCACACTGCCCCTGATTAAGCACAGAAATCAACATTTCTCCCATATCCTGTTGTTACCATCCACTTTGAAGGACTGAGTTATAAGAGTTGCCAGCCACATAGTTTTTGACTCTTCCAGTGCTGACGATAGGATGTGTTCAATAAATTATTTTCTGTGGTACATATTTTATTCACTTCATTGCTGAGATAGAGCTGTGTACTGCATCTTCCATTAGTTGGGTCTGACTAAAAAGCTCCTGCAAAACATGTACTATACAGACCACACAACACCATCTTCTCCCAGTGCTTCAGTTGGAACTCTCAAAATGCTTCCAACGGCTTCCCATTTGTTAAGATCTTATTTATGTGTTAGGTGCAGATGCTAGAGACAAATTTCATTGCCAGAGATCTGTACTGGGAGTTAGTATACTCAGTCTGTGGAGACAATATTTTGTCGATGGCAGATAGGATGTCGTTTTGGTGGGCCCGATCCTATACTTCTGGCTTAGGATTCCCTTCATGGGTGGAGAAAAACTTTTTTCTGGCTAACCAGAGTTTTGATTGTCAAAGAAGAAATTGTTAAAGTGTTCATTGGTGCCATAAGCCTCTCTACCTTAGTTTTTTAAATGCCAATGTATCTGCTCAAATTACTATTAAAAAAAAATTTTGATCATCCAGGTATTTTGTCACCTAACCAGTGCAATTTTAACTAAATCAAACATCAAACCTTCTAGTTTGCCATTCATTCACCGTATTGTTTTAATTTCACCACGTTTCTACCCTCAGTATTAGTATGTTTAGAAGTGGATGAAGGGGGGTTCCTGGGTGGCTCGGTTGGTTAAGCATCCAACTTCAGCTCAGGTCATGATCTCACGGCTCGTGAGTTCGAGCCCCGTGTCGGGCTCTGTGCTGACAACTCTGAACCTGGAGCCTGCTTCTCTCTGCCCCTCCCCTGCTCACTTTCTCTCTCTCTCTCTCAAAAGTGAATAAACATTTAAAAAAAAATTTTTTTAAAGATGTGGATGGGAAAATTCTGACTGGTTTTCCATATGGGCAGAGTACTTTAAAATCAGAATATATAACACAGTTTTCTACAGTATCAGAGTTTCACATTTTTCCTAGTTTGTAGACAAGCTCTTAAAAATCTGTGAAAAACATAATCATTTACCAGAATTTTATGTCATCTGTAAACAAGGTTCATTATTATACTCGATAAAATATTATATTAATCCACCAGTATTGAAAAGATGCCATAAAGGAAGGGGGGGATGGCTTTCTATGTTGGCTCCATAAATAATATTTACATGCTAAATAATGATTGCAACAACTGAATCATTAAAAAGGAAAGCATCGAATTATGTCTTGGCAACATTTAAGGGACAGAAACCAAATGTCTTGGGGGGCTAAAAATATCCAGAGCCATTTTCATATATTTTCTCCACATAAAACCCATAAGCCTCTGTGATTAACTGGCATTTAAGAACTGAAAAACTAACACAACTTAAAAGGTAATTGTCTCAACCAAAAGTGTGCAATGGTTCCAATTTACGACTTTTCGTCTTTAGGGTGGTCTGAAAGCAATATGAGTTCAGTAGAAACTATGCTTCAAATTTTGAATTGTGGTCTTTTCCTAGGCTAGGATATGTGGTACAATCCTTTCTTGAGACACTGGGCAGTGGGGGAAGCCTCGGCACCCAGACAGCCAAGTGATCACAGGGTAAACAACTGTTACGCTTACAACCACTCTCTACCCATACCACCATTCTCTTTTTCATTTTCAGTACCATAGCCAATAAATTACACGAGCTATTCAACACTTTGTTACAAAGTATTTACATAAGATGATTTTGCCCAACTGTAGGCTGATGTTAGTGTTCTGAGCATGTTTAAGGTAAGGTAGGCTAAGTTATGATGTTTGGCAGGTTAAGTGTATTAAATGTATTTTCAACTTATGATCTTTTCAATTTACAATAAGTTTATCAAGATATAACGTCTTCTCAAATTGAGGAATATCTGTATAAATGTTAGGGTAACAGTCCTTGTAAATGCTTGTCATTTGTTGATTTTGGGGTACTGTCATTTCTAGGTAAATTTTAATGGATTTGGAAGGTTTTTTGGCTTTAGTGAGCTGAATTATACAGATCTCTTAATTATGTTTTTAAGTAGTTTAATCTTAGAAGTATTAGTTTAAATCAAGCACTTTCATAAAATGCAAGGAGCAAGTTTTGGTGGGAGATTGTGTCTGCAGTAGGGAAAAGAAGAATGCTTTTTCATTCCCTCTGATGTTGGAGTCAGATTCTACATTATTATCAGTATTCATATTCATACTCAGGAAAATATTCAGCAATTTTACAACTATTTAAATCCAGTAATCATTTAATGCTGAGTAGAACAGAAATTACATGGCATCTTTGTTGAATATACACTTTATGGAAATATATTCGATGCTGAAGAAATCACTTCTAAAAATAGCAAACAAAATAGCCAACTTGGAAAACAAACAGTGAAACTATGGTTAGAATAAACTTCCAGAGGGCAAATTGCAATGAACACTGCCCTAGGCTTTAAGTGCAGTATTTTAATGCCAGATTTCCAAGTTCCCAACAATACCAGTGGGATTATTTTAAGCTACAAGTGAATGAATGAAATCAGAGAGCCTAATTTGTTCCCTGGAGGTGTCTATGCACGATAGCCTGCCCACAGCAGCGAAAGAGCACCAAGCAAGAAGGACCGCATTGGCTCCTGGTAATTTTGGCTCATAAGACCTGAACTAGCAGATTTCAGACCCAATTTTCTTAAGAACACCTTGAACTTCCACCAGAATATTCCAAGTGTCTACCTAGATGCCAGACTTTCAAAGATTAACTTTTAAAATACAATTGTTCTTTAATAGTTACAGAAGGCCCTAACAGGTGTTGAGATCTGCAAGGATAAGATCCTCTTCAATTTATAAAAGCTATTCTAGAACTCTTGTTTTCTTATGATGAGAACAGAAAAGAACATATAGTTTCCTAAAATGTTTTTGATGTAGTAACTTTAATAGAATTTGTTTGATTAGTCTTATGTAATGCACTTGTCATATTTTACTTTAAGAAACTGGGAAGGCACAGATTTTTACTATATATAAAAGCAATATTCAGTCTATTTTGAATTATTACAGATGACACTCCCATGCATTAAGACCCTCACATCCTATTTCAAAAACTCAAAATAGAATTCAGCATTCAAAATTGACAATTGAGAATCCTAATGGGAATCCTGGAAAGCATCTACATGTAAAGTAAGGTTTGGACACTTTAATAAAAGTTGGTTATGTCATCAATAAAAACATTTCACATACATATTAATTATCAATATGTTAAGCAATTTTTATAGAATGTGGGAAAAAGCCAGTAAAAAATGTTAGTTCCCAACTCTTTAAAGGATGTCATCATAAAGAAACAAACCTGATATGAATTGAGTTACTAACTTCTTTATTAGACGTAAGTATACAATAGAGTTAATCATTTAATTTATACAAAGGGAGACATTCACTTCAAGAAGGCTTGAAGGCTGGCAGGTGTCCTATTATGTGCTGTAATTACTCCAAGATCTAGTGACAAAATTCTTGTTGGGAAGCATTGATTTCAGCATGTTTTTTTTTTTTTTTCCAATTTTGTCATTTTAACTATCTTCTGCCTGCCTCATTCTCTGATTACATACAGTGAGGATGTCAGTAGAAACATATATTTAAATAGATTGATACTTCCCTTTTTATTCTAAAAATAAAAGAGAGAACCAAGAACTTTGATAATAAAAGCTGTGCATATGTAATCTCCAAATTTTGATTAGCTGAGTCTGCCAGAAATACAGGTGAATATTGGAGGTAATCTCCTACAGGCAAGAAATTAAAAGTTCATGCAACCAGAACAACCTTTTGCCAACACACCAAAATACATGAAGCATAAATTTCAATTTCAGGTTATCACAAAATTCAGAGTAGGTTAAAAACAAGATAATATTATAATAGAGAACAAAGCCACATATCCCAAAATATTATATAGAATTCTTTCTTTTTACTCAAATAATATCAAACTGTCACACACACACACACACACACACAAGCCAACATGACAAG